GGGGTATAGCTCAGTGGTAGAGCATTTGACTGCAGATCAAGAGGTCCCCAGTTCAAATCTGGGTGCCCCCTCTTTAAATACCTTCTTAGACCGCATAGGATATGGAAATTATTCTACTATTGAGTATTTGTGTCAAGCAACAGGTGTTGCAAAAACTGTAAACCAATAGCAACTGAGCATTGTTTCTGGATGTTGGATTCAGTAGAAAATTATAGTTTAGGTTAAGAATCTTCTCAGAAAATGCCAGCTTGTCTATAGAGGACACAACATTGCACTATTAAAGGCATTCACATCACCCAGTATGATGATGCAAACGCTCTATGTGATAGGAGATGCACACTGAACTTCTGAAAAAAGTCATCAGATTTGGGGGTATAGCTCAGTGGTAGAGCATTTGACTGCAGATCAAGAGGTCCCCAGTTCAAATCTGGGTGCCCCCTTTTTAAAAACAACTTAGAAAGCATAGGAAATGGAAATTATTCTACTATTGAGTATTTGTATCAGGCAACAGGTGTTGCGAAAACTGTAAACCAATAGCAACTGAGCATTGTTTCTGGATGTTGGATTCAGTAGAAAATTATAGCTTAGGTTAAGAATCTTCTCAGAAAATGCCAGCTTGTCTATAGAGGACACAGCATTGCACTATTAAAGGCATTCACATCACCCAGTATCATGATGCAAACGCTCTATGTGATAGGAGATGCACGCTGAACATGTGAAACAAGTCATCAGATTTGGGGGTATAGCTCAGTGGTAGAGCATTTGACTGCAGATCAAGAGGTCCCCAGTTCAAATCTGGGTGCCCCCTCTTTAAATAACTTCTTAGACCACATAGGATATGGAAATTATTCTACTATTGAGTATTTGTGTCAAGCAACAGGTGTTGCAAAAACGCTTGTCTATAGAGGACACAACATTGCACTATTAAAGGAATTCACATCACCCAGTATGATGATGCAAATGCTCTATGTGATAGGAGATGCACACTGAACTTCTGAAAAAAGTCATCAGATTTGGGGGTATAGCTCAGTGGTAGAGCATTTGACTGCAGATCAAGAGGTCCCCAGTTCAAATCTGGGTGCCCCTTTTTAAAAACAACTTAGAAAGCATAGGATATGGAAATTATTCTACTATTGAGTATTTGTATCAGGCAACAGGTGTTGCGAAAACTGTAAACCAATAGCAACTGAGCATTGTTTCTGGATGTTGGATTCAGTAGAAAATTATAGCTTAGGTTAAGAATCTTCTCAGAAAATGCCAGCTTGTCTATAGAGGACACAGCATTGCACTATTAAAGGCATTCACATCACCCAGTATGATGATGCAAACGCTCTATGTTATAGGAGATGCACTCGGAACATCTGAAAAAAGTTATCAGATTTGGGGGTATAGCTCAGTGGTAGAGCATTTGACTGCAGATCAAGAGGTCCCCAGTTCAAATCTGGGTGCCCCCTCTTTAAAAACAACTTAGAAAGCATAGGATATGGGAATTATTCTACTATTGAGTATATGTATCAGGCAACAGGTGTTGCAAAGGCTGTAAACCAATAGCAACTGAGCATCGCGTCTGGTTCTTGGAATCAGTAGAAAATTATAGTTTAGTTTAAGAATCTTCTCAGAAAATGCCAGCTTGTCTATAGAGGACACAGCATTTCACTATTAAAGGCATTCACATCACTCAGTATGATGATGCAAACGCTCTATGTTATAGGAGATGCACTCTGAACATCTGAAAAAAGTTATCAGATTTGGGGGTATAGCTCAGTGGTAGAGCATTTGACTGCAGATCAAGAGGTCCCCAGTTCAAATCTGGCTGCCCCCTCTTTAAATAACTTCATAGACAGCATAGGCAATAGACAATATTCTACTACAGTGCAACAATTCTAATAATACTGTATAATTAAGTGTGGCACAAACTGTAAAGCAATTGCAAGATCACAAAACAAACCACTGTAGTAAGCTTGTTCCTAGAACAAGGAAGTATACAATTTATTTGAGCAAATTCAATAATAAACTTTATGAAAAAGCTACAACATGAACACGGGTCTTACCAACATCTCTAGTTGATATATTTATATGTATGTACACTTTTGCCTTGTAATGGCATGCTACAAGGACACAACCCTTTAATTGTTGGAAACCACAAAAAGAGAGGCAGACTCAGGATGTTGTTTTACGCTCCTCCCACTTTCACAACTTGAAAATGCAGCTGTCAAAGCACAATCTTCAACAAATAAAGAATTGACTAAGTCGGAAGTTCAGAGGCGCTGAATCATATTGCTCTGGTAGGTTCAGACTAATGCTGTACATGGCTACCTCACAGTATCAACACGCCATATGATGACAAGCACCACTAAAGTGACAATACGAATCCCTCTCGGGTCAGCTGACAATTTGTACAAATTTAACATGCCCCAAGTTTGAGCCTGTTTAAAATGTATGCCGGGGAACACAGAACAATGGTATATGACCTTTGAATTGTAAATAATATGGTGTGAGTCCACAAAAAGGCTCCCACATATTCCTTGAGTGGTCATCTTCTGCCGCCTCTAGCAGTCTGCATCAGCATTTACAACTCAAGGGTGAAGCACACAACACGTAAACCCTTCCTGGTAGTTTCACAACGGCCCGACACCAAGAAGTATAAAAATCAGATTTCAAAGCTTCTGAATACTACCCTGTGAGCAAAATAAATAAGAGCTTAAATATTTAATAGAAGAACAATGGAGTGAAGACGCGTGACAAAAATGAAAACCAGGTTATTGCGGTGTAGCTGTGTGATACTCCAAACACGTTCAAAAAGTTCACTCGTGTCCTTGTCCTTGTCTTGAAAGCAGCAGAACGAAGACTAAAAATCAAAAACAAGAAGGAGCTTCTCTTCTACGTTTAAGTGTTCGTAGTTTCAGACACGCAGGATCTCCAAGCAGTTGTTGTAGCAGATGGCGATCCAGTCCGGCTGCGTGGACGCCCACTGCACGTTGTTGATCTCCCCTTCAGCAGTGTAGGCCAGGATGGGATCCTCAATGGCTCGCGGCATCTGCTGGATGTCCCAGATCAGAGCCTGGTGGTCGTCAGCTAAGGAAACAAGACACACAATGAGACAACACTTCAGACCAAGAAAGCAGGAGAATGCAAAAGAGAAGCCTCGAAGTTTAAAGTACGAGTTTGTGCCGTTTCCGACGAGAGTTAGCAATTTTAGAGACTTCTGCGTTCTGCGTTTTTCTTGCTTTTTTCCCACTAGCTGGCACTAGTTCCTCCTAGTATATCCCACGATGCGTAGGTGCCCTTACCTGCAGTGCAGATGTGACATGACGAGTGCGGGGCCCAGGCGATCCCGTTGACACAAGCACGATGGTTGTTTAGCCGAGCGACCGGAGTGCAAGGCACACGTACGTCCAGGATGACAACCTATTAAAAAAAGTGTCAACAAACAAATATTCTGTTTGTTCTTTATGCTTATGGCTCTAAGAAAGGTTTGGGTCAGTCAGAAATAACAACGCAATCCTTTGTCTTTGGCTCCCGAGACTCTACAGCAAACTGACCTCCATGCCGTCCATGGCCATTGTAGCTAAGTAGTTGGGGTCCTGCTTGTTCCAGCAAAGGCGAAGCAGTGGGTGGTGCTGGGGGTCTTCATAGATAATGGTGCTGTGCTCCAGGTGCCGAAGGTCAAACATGCGGACGGATCCATCGGCCCCCACAGAGGCAAACATATCTCTGCCACCTCCTGCACGGCTGAACGCAATGTCATACACCTGCAGAGAGAAATGGAGACATTGATTGAAATGTACTTTTAGGCTGTGTAAACAAGGGGCTTTGTTTTCTGCAGCTCACACACCTCTTTGTCATGAGCAATCAGCTGGGTCTTCACATGGCCAGACACCAGGTTCACTCGTCCCAACACCTGGCCCGTCTCCAACCCCCAGATGGTGCAGGTGGTGTCAATGCTTGAAGTACCTGTGGGATGAACAAGCACGATGAGTTTTCCACCAAATGAAGGAGCGAGAAAGAAAGAAAAAAATGCTTATCCCCCCGCACTCCCCCTAACTATTTATTACACAGTGACTTCCTTACCCAGCAGATTCGGATCAACTTCATTCCAGTCAAAAGATGTGAGTGGAGCACAGAAGTCCGAGTTCTTGTTGTTGTTGAGCAAACATTCAAGACGTGTTTCTGTGTCGCTGACCTGCATGATCAATCCAAAGGTATTTGACAGTGAGGAGATGGCAGCAAACTACCACTATAGTTAACAATGATGAATTATGGATGGACAGTTAAGAGGTTAAGGTGGTTAACTGATGTTAGCTCTATATTATATATATATCTCCCCAAAAAGGATAAATAAAGTTTGATCTCATGGCACGGAGGACAAATGTATCAGGCTTGTGGTGCAAAAAGCAATACTTATGAGGAGGACCAATTCCTTGTCGCTTTAGAACTTTCATCAGGATTTGATCAAACATCCTACCCTCCAAATGCGCAGGTAGTCCCCACTGGTGGCTAGCAGGTCCGGGTACACCCCTTTGGTGTCCGGGATCCACATGATCTTGGTCGTGGGGTACGGGTGGTCAAACGTGTTCCTGCAGACGAACTCCGAGCTCTCTTCTTCCAGACCCACCAGCTGGACCTGTGCAGGAGCAAACACGCATCACCCATTATTCCCACGCGAGCTAATTAAACGGACTGTTGACATGACAACGAGGGACAGAAATAGCATTCGCTGTATATGTGGTCGAGTGTGGGATATGACAGACACAAAGACGTGTCTGCGGGTTATTTACAAATAACTTTCGTCTTCCTGTGGAACAACAACAAAAACAGACTTTGTCCCGTGGTGCTACGCAGGACTACTAGCATTAGCATTAGCCCGAGCTGACGTTGAGCTGGTGAATGGCCATGGGGACCTCAATGCGCACCTTGTTGTTGTATTCCTCCACAAAGCTCCCAAGCGCCAGCCGAAAGCGTTTGTCCGGCCGGACGCTCCAGTTCATCGCGTACACCGTCCATGGCGCGTCGTATTTGTAGATCTCTTTTCTTTTGCCGTGAAGCGACATCCTCGCAAAGTGCAGCTGTTGTTAGCTGACAAGCTAGCGAAATAAGTAGTCGCCTCGGCCAACTGCCTCCCTGTACTGCGACTTCAGCAACAGACACCAGCAGATGCGGTGGCAAAGAGCATATGATTGAATGAATCTTGATAAGGAACAAGATTCCTCACTACTTTACTTAACAAAGAGCACCATTTCTCGCCATGAACTAAAGCGCTGTCAAGTCCATCCAAACCCATGTTACTTCTTGTATTTACTTTCAAAATAAAAATATATTATTGTTCCAATCTTTGTGGGAGGTGTGGTTTTATTAAAACGTTTAAGAAAGATTGTCGGCAAGATTGACAGATATATTTACACAGATTAACTATATATATATATATATATATATATATATATATATATATATATATATATATATATATATATATATAGTTGGCATATGTTTTGTTAAGACTTGTTATTGATCCATATAGAATGCCAACAGCCATCCACACATCACACACTTACTTATTTCTTTCCAGATCCCATCGTATTCTCCCCAGATCATGAAGCTGTAGATTTGCATCACAGAACAAATTGTTATCATTTCATGCCCTATTCTATTAAGCTGTGATTTCTTCAGTGTGTTTGCTTTATTCTGAAATCTTACGGAAGTTGCTGCATTGTCGTTTGGTGACCACTAGATGGAGTCAGACACCGCTGCACTTTCATTTTCGACCTCTGCCGAGGGAAACACTGCTGCCTCAAGTAGTATTAGGAACAGCCAGTGAATACTGTGTGATAGAAAGTAATACACAGAGTAAGAAAAATATTACATAAATACATAAAAGCCTTAAAACTGGGGAGGCCTCACCAAATATAAATGCCAGTTTGTCTTGTATTTCTGTAAACATATTATTTTCCACTGGCGCACATAAAACAGAAATAATATGTTAATTATATTATATATGGCTGCAATAGGACGAAGCAAAAACCTTATTCTACAAGATAAACATAAACCTATATAAAATGTATCATTGAAATTGCAAGATGCAATCAACTCAAGCAAGTAGCTGGAAGCAAGGCAAAACTGGCGGCTGCTGAGAAACCACAGACAAATATAATTTTAGGTGTCGAGCCACCACCCCACTATTTCAGGATCTTTGGCAGTTCCACAGCTCTGTTTGAACGTGTTTACCGGTAACGCTGTCGGCTACAGAGAATGGTGTTGCACAAACTTCACTACATAACTGTTATAACTGGTCAGAAGTGCATGATGTGGCAACAAGTTACAAGGTACAAGTTACTTTGTAAATTAAGATTTTACATAAACTAAATATGATCATAATATCAGAAATCAATTACTAAAACCAGCAGTATAGAAAAGTCAATTTAATCACTTCATCCAGCTTAGAACCCGATTAGAATACTACATTTGTATCAGTACATGACACACTTTCTAATACAAAGCTCTGGAAGTGCTCCCACAAAATACCGTAAGCCCTTTTTGCTGTGTTTTTACAACTACAAAGAAAGATTTACCTTAACACAGTTTGCAACAATGTTGTGGCACAGGTGGACCTTATATAGATGGTTAGATCTGTAGCTCTGCCACTGCCCGCAAAATACACTTGGACTACGACTATGAATACAACCAAAGATGTTTCAGTTGCAAGGCGAAACTTTAAACTGGAGTGGAAGAGATGAGTCGATTAGTTGATTAGCTGAAGAATGGAAAATATGTTGCTTTTCTTTGTCCTATTTGATGATCATTGGACTGCCGGTGGGACAAAACTAGACAAAAACGCCTCCTCAGCAGTTGTCATTATTTTATGACACTTTGTGGAATCAGCCATAGACAAAACTATTATACCCTGTGTAAATCACTGCAGAGGATTACCATAGGATTTCCATCTCCTTATGGAATATAGAGTCTGTGGCAGGATTGAAGGTTGATGTCAGAGGGAGGAGACGTCCAGCTAAACAGCGGGTTACAAGGAGGCGGCTGTGGTTTGTAATTAGTTGTCTCCCTCTTCACGGATCCTGAGACAGAACCTCAAGGAGAGGAATATTAGCTGCGTACAAAACCTGGGTTCAACTCAACATCCACCAAAGAACACGGACGACCTTTGATTTGGAAGAAGTGTCGCGTGACTCTTCCTGCACGTGGGATTTTTTTTTAAAATGCGTTAGCCTTTATTTTACGTCTATGCATCCTGGGAGCTGCAGCTAAACGCTGGAGCAAAACAAAGACCTCCTGAACACTTTTCAGCTGTTGGGGTAAGTCGATATGTACTCCACCTCAATGTAGATCAAAACCAACTGGTTATGGCCTCAAAAGTTCCACTAGGCTAAATAGCTCACATGCTTGTTAAATCATGTTAAAATCCATAAATCTATCTTTTAAATTGAAGAAGTGTTGCATGCAGTGAGACTCTGGTGCCAGATGTCAATATTTACCTATTTGGATTGATGTACTCACGGTGTTGACCGTGGTCGTTGTGTCTGGAAGTATATTGACTCTGGCTGGTTGATGTTGACTGTTGTCTTTTGAGTGTTGACCTGCTAATAAATTCAAGCCAGGGGGGTTTGTGTGTATGCAAAAGCAACATCTGGTGAACAGTCAAGACCCACAAAACCCTTTGAAATCAAAGTGTATGTCTTTGTGTCAGTCTGTATTTATGTGCTTTCTTCTCGTGTCATCTCTGCTGCTTCCAGGGCATCCTCAGAAGCTCAACCCATTCATGGAGAAGACACTGACAATAGGTCTGACCCTTTTCTTAACACTCTGTGTGGACATACCAGGAGCGGGAGGACAGAAGGCCGGGGCTCGTGGCGATGACACTCAGAAAGCTTCATCGCGACCTTCAGATCCAAAAGGAGGCCGTTGCTCCTACACTTTCATTGTCCCGCAACAAAAACTGACTGGTGCGCTGTGTTTGAAGACGCAGTCTGCGTCCGCCAACCGGTCGGAGGTGGCGGCGCTGCGAGCGGAGCTCCGACGGCAGCAGCAGCAGCTGCAGGAGCTCCACGGCCAGCTGGAGCAGGAGGGCGCCCTCGCCATGGAGGTGAGAGGACTGCGCAAAGAGAGTAACAGCATGAATTCTCGCATTGCCCAGCTCTACGCCCAGCTGCTACATGAAGTCATTCAAAAGAGAGACCGAGCTTTGGAGCAGCAGAGGGTGGAGAGTGTCCTGTTAAATGCTACAACACAGGTGAGCAGAGGACACTGCATCATCTACACCGTATCATCGCCATCACACTCATCCTGATGTCTGCTGTGCTATGGTCGGTGTGACATGTCAGGCGCTGCAGGTTTCCAGTAACTACAGGGAGCTGGAGAAGAAATATGCAGCCCTCACCTCCATGTTGAGCTCCCAAAACCAGTTTATAGCTCGTCTGGAGAAGCAGTGCCACTGCAGGGGATCCCCGCAGGCCTCTCTGGTAGGGAACAAACTGTGGTCTGCATGTTGCAAACGTACACACGGTTTTGACACTGGAACTGAGGGTGTTGCTTTTGTGTTGGTCTTGACAGGTGGCGACTGAACCGCCAAAAAGCCAGTCTATCGTGCACCCTAATCACAGCTCCGACGCCAGCAAAATGGCCAACGATGTTCAAAGGGACCAAAGTGCTCTTCCTCTACCGCAGGAAAAAGCGGTTGCGTCCCTCCCCGCCAGCACAGCCCACTCTCCTACGGACCCTCCATTCAGTAGTTTCCCTGTCACGAAGACTCCAGGTACATGAACGCAAAGCACGTCCTCAAGCAGGAGTGCTTGGTTAGACTCAAACCTATGTGTATACGCGCATCAATCTTCTGTCAGGGTTATGTATCTTCTCTGATAAAGCAGAGGCTGAAGGAGTCAGTGACCTTCTGGTGGGAAGCCTATCTCCCTGGGAATGCCTAAACAAAGTCACAAACAGCTGGCAGCTGTTATCACAACAGAGAGGACTTTGAAAGACTCGCTCTTGAACCAGAGCGTTTTGTTGGATCTTTAAACGGCATGGATACCATGTTCTAGAACTAGAATATGTCAAGTGACAAAGTATTCTATTTCAGCAGTATTTGAGTCAGCAGAACCTTGCAGAAGTGTCTCGTGCAAGTGTGTGACTCAACTCTTGCAACGCTTGTCTAATGAAAGGATGTGCATTGCATCATCTTGTCCCTGTGAACAAGTACAAACTCCAAATGCTTGTCGGGGGGTGACTATTGATCTTCAGCGTCGTAGATTTTCCTTCATGTACACATTTTCTCAGTGAAGGTTCCTATGTTCTTCTTATCCCACTGACATGAGACACTCAACATGCGTTGGGGGGAAGAATTCCTCGGCTGTGAAAAGATAAGCAGGCATTGCTGTGTTTGTGAGATTCTACTGATGCAAAGACAAACAGAATTCCAAGACGTTGTTTAACTGTCACACTTGTGATTGCCCCCACTGTCTTTAAGTCTGCACGTGTAAAAGCAATAAAAGGCATCAAATGAAATACATTTGAAGGGTTATTAGAAAAGATTGGTTTCTACTGATTAGTTGATCTCTAGAGGAGGCTGTGACAAACTCATACCTTATAGAAGGGGTTTGTAAAGTCTAAGACTGTGGGCCGTCCCTCAAACAAAGCTTAGTCTACTTGTTTAATTTAGCATTGAGGAACAGCTAAGCCAAGTTAACCGTTTTTCTGCTGTCAATTCCCCCGAATCTCTTTATCTCACTAACTCTTTAACCAAATCAAGCATTTATGCTATTCTATGTGATCCTTTTTTGGGATATTTAATGTCTCATCAAAAGGTTACAGATAAATGTTAAACTACAGCATATATCTTTATATAGCATGTATTGTTATGGTTCCTTATCCCTCACTTGGTTGTATATACATATATAAATATATATATATATATATATATATATATATATATATATATATATATATATATATATATATATATATATATATATACTTTCTCCCCTCTCAGGGCCGTGGCGCGACTGCCAGCATGTGCTGGAATCCGGTGAGACCACCAGCGGGATCTACCTGCTCCGTCCACAGAGCGCCAACCGCCTCCTGCAGGCCTGGTGTGAGCAGAGTCGGGCTGAGGGAGGGTGGACGGTGATCCAAAGGAGACAGGATGGGTCGGTCAACTTCTTCAGAACGTGGGAGCAATATAAGGTGGTCCTTATTTTAGAGTTTCAGCGTGCTGATATTTAATAATCAGTTTGTAGGCTGATGGCAATGTCGGTAGGTTTGGTCATAAACTAAACTACTGGATGAAGTTGAAATGTTGACCAGTGGTGGCACTAGATTAAGAGTCCGGATTATCCATGCGACATTCTTTGCTATAGTTATTGAAATATTTCAATAAGGCCAAACAGTCAGATGATCACTGAATGAGTACTTTTCTCAGATTAGACATGTGTGTTTGTGTGTTACAGCAAGGCTTTGGAAACCTAGACGGAGAGTATTGGCTCGGCCTGGAACACCTTTACTGGCTGACCAAACAGGCCCAATATAAGCTGCGAGTGGCTCTGGAAGACTGGCAGGGCCGGCAGGTGTTTGCCGAGTACGACAGCTTCCACCTCGAACCAGAGAGCGATTGGTACAGACTGCGTTTAGGACAGTACCACGGCAGTGCAGGGGATTCGCTCTCATGGCACAACAATAAGGCCTTCACGACACTGGATCGAGACAAGGACGGCTACACGGGTATTTGTCTCATGCTGGTTCTGTTTGTCAGCCCTCCGTCGAGCCTTTTCTGTTAACATGTTCGTTCCTCCTGTTGTGTCCCCAGGTAACTGCGCTCACTACCAAAAGGGAGGCTGGTGGTACCATATGTGCGCCCACTCCAATCTGAACGGTGTGTGGTATCGGGGGGGACATTATCGCAGCCGCTACCAGGACGGGGTCTACTGGGCCGAGTTCCACGGAGGGTCCTACTCTCTCAAACGTGTTTCCATGATGATCAAACCCACATGACAGTAGTGTCGTGGATATATGATGCAGGCAGCTGTAGATGGCTCTAAATCAGCGGTTCCCAAACCATTTAGGCCACGCACCCCCTTCTACATCCCAACTGGGTTCATGCACCCCCAACCGCCCACACTTAAAAAGAAAAAGTCTATTTATAGCTGCATTAAAATTGGACCAATGACCGAACAGTTTGCTCACGCGTGACGTTTGTTTGCAATATTTAGTCTGCTGTTAAATGTTTGTACAGTGCTGAGCCAGTTGTAATGAACACTTGTTGTTTACAGATCAGTCAGTGATGTGTTCAGATGGTAAATAATTGGACATTGACTCTCTGCTCTGTGTTGACATACCTGTCTTGTTCTGCAATTTCCTGCCAGAATTTCATATTTCATTATATTCAATGTGTTATGTACTTTTAAATAAAACGATGGCCAATTTCTGAATAGTTATCTTCCCTAATGAATAGAAAAGGGGACATGGAAATGATGCACAATATCCCTCAGGGTGGAGACGAATAAGAATATGTCTTCACAGACAGGAAACTGGTGACGTGGTTCCTTTTACAGTTTCCTGTTCTAAACACGTTGAATTACTTTCCTTTCATCACCCTAAGCACGTGTTCGTCACCAGGGCCAGCTCTGTGCACGATTAATCGTATTCAAATACTGAAGCTGGACACATCTGCTGGTCCATCCTGAAAGACATGCTCACAGCTACCATGCTACCGCTCAAGATGTTGGGCCTCCTCATGCTCTTTTTTTCAATGTGTGGTGAGTGATATTGACTTATCTGTGTGTCCGTGCTGAGTATATAGAACAAAGTCTTAAGACTGAGGCGTCTTCCGCTTGCTTAAAGGTTCAATCGCTTCAAGTTCCAGCGGTGATGGTGATGGACGTAAAATAAGATGGAAAATAAGAAAGTTGTTGAGTTGTTAAAATACAGACACTTCAGCTCAAGAATTCACCTCAATCTCAAATATATTATGTTTATCTAAGTATTCATCTCCATCAGTTTGAGTATAACCAATTGAACTTATTATTTTTGGTTTGGTTTCAACATATTTAATTGCATAGAATAATGTAAATACTTTTGATGAGATGCTGTTATGGATAATGTAAAGGAAGAAAAATGGAAATTGACTATTTAAAAGAATTAAGTTGGTGAGATGCTGTTATGCTGCTCTGAAATGGTGGGGCGGTTAGAGAGCCGTTACATCTTCCGCCACAAACTAAAGACACACCTCTTCAGACTTTACCTTGACTAAAAACACTAACAAATTGTAGCACTTCAATTGTACTTATAATTTTTTCTTGTTCGTCTGAGTTTGTATCTCTATGGTTGAATGCACTTATTGTAAGTTGCTTTGGATTAAAGCGTCAGCTAAATGACATGTAATGTAACATGTAATGTTATGGATCACGTAGAAGAAAGGAAGAAAACCGGAAAATGTGACTATTTCCAAGAATGAAGTTAAGTTTCATTTCTGAAGTTCTAGGTAAAACGTTTCTTTGGGGTTTGAAACAGATGAGGGGTTATTCTTAGGTGCTTAAAAACTTCCTCTATACTGGCTTGTGGCTGTTTTGGGAGGAGTCCATTTGGTAACAGTGTGCAACAGTTTAGTGGGTTAACTATAATCCCGGCAGCACGGGTGATTTTTCAAACGGTATAAAAAGAACACAAATCCTCAAAAAGGTGCAAATCTCACTATCCCAATGCTTTAAATTACTTAATAATTTCATACAATACAAATTTCTTAAAGTTTAAAATCATCACAAACGTATCTTCGCCATGACGTGTAGGCCTATAATGTGTCAGTGATATCCGCACAGATGTAAAATATGTATCACTAATATCTGTGTTGATCAAGGTTTTTCATCCCGTCATTGTTTACAAAAATTAGGCTCATGATAATACTTTAGCAATACTATAATACAAATTTCTTAAAGTTTAAAATAATGACAAACGTCGCCGTCATGACGTGTATAATGTGTCAGTTTACCTTGAAAGCTCAATAAAAGCGCCCCCATGTCTCACAACAGATGCAGACGGTGAATGCCTCCCGGAGCTCATCCTGAATCCGCCTGAGGTTCTGGGAGAATATGGAGACACAGTGACTGTCAACTGTTCCAGCGCAGACAGTGACAATTTTGAGATGTACGGGATGGTTGGAAACACACAATGGCAACCAGAATATGAAAATAGTGTAACATGGAACGTGACACTCTCAGACTGGAATGTGACTGCAGAGTGCGTGAAACAGCTGAACAACACCAGCTGCCGTAAAGAGCTAAAAATCAGAATATACCGTAAGTTGAATTTCAAATGAAAAATATCTAATGGAAGAAAAAAAAACAGCAAAAGCAAAAATCAGTATTTCATTTTGTTTTGGTAGAGAATCCAGAGGAAGTCGTTGTGGGTCCGACAAAGAATGCATCTGCGTTGGAAGGCACACAGTACCAGCTGCAGTGTGATGTTCTCAATGTTGCTCCTGTCCAACACCTGACTGTGAGTTGGTACAGAGACGGTGAGACCATCAGGACGGACAACTTCACACACTTAAACGCAACCAAAGGACTAGCAAGTGAGTCCTCCACTCTGACAGCCACCTTCAGCAGAGCAGAAAACGGAGCTCAGTTTCATTGTGGGGCTCATCTGGACTTTGGGGAACATGGATCAAAACCTGCGGTTAATTCAAGCGTGCACGCGGTTTCTGTGCACTGTGAGTAAACGCTTGTTGTTCCCAGATAAACAGATTGATTCTTTCCTCGAGATCGCTTTCCATGATGTAAATATTTGAAGTAATGAAAAGCTTTTGGCTTGCCTCTTCAGATGCCGCTGAGCTCAAAAACCAAACTGAGTATGTCGATGGGAATGAGGGTGATCACGTCACCTTGAAGTGTGAAGCTGAGGGGCGCCCTGCTCCTGTCTTTAGCTGGTCACTTGATGGGAAGAATTTAATGGAGACCACGAGTGACCTCAACATCACTTTAGCAACCAATGCAATATACATCTGCACAGCTTCCAACTATCTGGGAAACACAACTAAGCTCTTTAATGTCTATGTGATGAAAACAAACGTGATGGGAGCCCCTTCAGCCATAACCACCCCTGAACCATCCACACCAAAAGGTAGACTCTTTTCCATTAGCACAGATGTACAATATGTATCACCAATATCTTTGTTGATTGAATATGTTTACTACCGAATGGCAGATTGCCCTCTAGTGTTGACGCCTGCTAAAATCGTGGTGAGATTTGGAGATCCAGCCGAAGTTGAATGCAGCACATCGGCCAAAGGTTTACAAAGAATGGGCTGGGAGGCTCCTTCTGGAGCCACAGCGTCTGAAACAAATGTAACCATCTGGACAGTCGACCAAGTGAAGGACTGGGCCACGGACCCTTTGTGCTACCTTAATACTAAAGACAAGCAGTGTTCTGTGAAGCTAAAAATCACTCTTTATAGTGAGTACAAGTACTAAACATGATATTCTGTATTTACGTATTTACTGTGCACTTGCTCTGCCACTTCAAAACAAATATTCTTTCCGTTTCAATTGTGATTGCAATATTTTCCTTTATTTGCAGAGACTGCAGACAGCGTGTCAGTGTCTGCGTTGGATCAAGGGCCGATGGTGGAGGGCACAGAGTACCTGCTGAAATGTGACATCACCAATGTGGCTCCTGTGCAGAAGCTCAAAGTGACGTGGTACCGCGGCAATGAAACTGTTGAAACACAGATGTTTAATGACACCAGCGAGATCCCGGTAAATGTCTCCTCCACCTTCAGAATCACTCCTGAGAGAGATTCTGATGGAGAACTCTTCAGATGTGACGCTAAGCTGCACCTAGGACCAAATGGACCAAAGCATGTCCCTACTAAAAGCTCATCCCCGTTTAAGGCCGTTGTGCACTGTGAGTTGTCCTCTTGTCTATTTTTTTCTTGTCATTCTTTTTTACACACCGGACTGATTTTGAATCATTTATGCTGATATATTTTTTTAGATAAACCACTGGTCAAAACATGCCCAGGCAGTTACGCTGGTGTGGAGCAGGAGTTCAGTATTGACAAGTTGTCCTGTGACTTTGCTGGGAACCCTCCACCAACAGTTAAGTGGTACTATAAAGAAAAACTGATCAATGCGTCTCAGCCCCTCACCAGGGATCAATCTGGAGAGTACACAGCTCAAATTGAAAATCACCTCGGCTCCATCAACACCTCTGTCCTTGTCTCAATCGAATGTAAGTGAATCAGACATGCTTGGATGGGTATGAGTTGGCGTTTCCTTTTTTGTCATTCATTCTGAAAAGCGTCTTTGATATTCACAGATGGCCCTTCGTTTACCTGTGATGATCGCTACGAGGTCAGAGAGAACGAGATTGTCCACTGTGAAGCCGATGGAAAGCCTAAGCCCAATGTCAGCTGGTTTGTGGGGGAGAAGGTAGAGGGAGGAAAAGAAGTGGCTGCCGTGACGCGCTGGACAAAGAATGATCGAGGAATATACTCACTGCAGGCAATCAACAAACATGGAAGTGCCACTCACAGGCTACGTGTTGATGTTTTGTGTACGTTTCATACTTTTGGATATTATCTGTTGCATTGTTGGCATAAGGGATTTGGAATCATATCATTCCTTCTTTTTTTTGATTGTCACCCATCTCTCCGCAGACGCCCCGGTCTTCACTGAGAGTTACAGCGAGGAGGTGAACGTGTTCCTGGGTGACAACGTGACTTTCGGCTGCAGTGCTGATGGCCACCCTCCCCCTGACATCCAGTGGAGAAAAAGTTCTGAAGCGCACGTGACCGTGACCACCAGGGGAAGCCAAAAGAGCATCACTGTTGCGGGAGCCACGTCTACCGATGCTGGTGTTTACATCTGTGATGCTACGAATAACGTTACGGTTGTGACGAGAACCGTCACACTGGTAGTGAAAGGTATTGACTATTTGCAGAACTAATATGGAAATATATACAGGAAAATCATCGCTGATGTAAACATTGCAATTAAGGGGATCAATAAGTGATTTTAAATTCATGTTTTTTATTTTTTCTTACAGATCGTAAGCCCGTCGTTGGAAAAGCCATTTGGTGGTTGATAATTCTATTGGTGTTCGTCATCGTCTTCATCGCCATCGGCGTTGCCCAGCATTACAAAACACATGGACAATATAGTTTCGTCTCAGCCAAACCCGACAACGATGGATCAGGCATCCCGATGACTACTCAGCCTAACGGGGTGTCGGTTTAGAACATGCAACAAACTAATGCCTGAACATCAACATCAGTGGGGAATGAATGCAATGCAATTTGTCCTTTATGACAAGAATGCAATGTAAATATGGTATGTACAATATATGTGTAACTTTGGCATATAAGATGTTAGGTTACTATTAATGTTACCTAATTAAACAACTAATTAGGAGCGGTAGATTTGCTGAAATGTGCTACCGATGAAGAATAATTTTTATTTGTAGGACTTTAAAGTCCAACCTAGACAACATTTTTAATTCTCAATATAGTTAGTGCGCTAATGTGTTGTATTTGTATTGAACTGTACAAGCTATTTTTTGAACATCTTCGCATGGACATGTTAGTCACATCAAGAGTAACATCCCTGTACAAACATAATAAACATAATGAATGATTTTTGAAAGCCTTGTAAAAATCCTAATTTGAGATGAAAAACTCGTCATAATAAAACAAGCGTCAGACAGTGAGATGGAGCATCAGTTTTATGAAGATCTGATTGGTTGATTATTGAGCTGAAGGAGCCCAATGCCTTGCTCAGGGACACTTAAAAACAACAACGAAAGAACTAATGGCCGTAAATATTGCAGCACGCTCCTGTGGGAAGAGCCGCCTGCGGTTCGGTGCACTGGCCCTTTAAGACTTAGGATTTGGGAGTGACGCGCATGTGAAAGCTAGTTTATCCCTCTTTACTTTGCTATGAAAAATATTTAGGCAAACTAGAATAACGACTTCCAGGGTTATTAAAGTAACTAACTATGATGCCGGTTTGCAGTATCTGTTGAGGCAAACCAGAAACCGGACCGCGTCGCGGTCACGATTTATCACCCCGGGGTTTGTGTGACTTGCCAAGGGGCCGACCTGCTCCGGGCCGCTGGAGAACTTTGGAGAAGTTCTTTGTATTCGGTAGAGGCGGACAGCTCGGCCCGACGAGCCGAACATGGACTGGGGCACGGAGCTTTGGGTGAGTCCGTCCTCCGGCTTGCTTTTTGCAGTTACGGGTTGTCAAGGAAGGGAAAACGGAACCGATATCCGAGGAGACAGAGTCCGCCGAGAAAGCGCGAGGGCAACGCGGGCGGAACGTCCTGCTTAGAGAGGACTCGTTTCCGAAGAATGGGGCGAAACGGTGCAAACGTATGCAAAAGTGTGCACGGGATGCGGTTCCGTTTGCGCGGAGCTTTCTTTCGCGTTTGGTCGTTGAAACAAAGAGCGGGTTCGCAGAAGCTCACACACCGACAAGTTGCTCTTGTGGACAATCTGTCTTTGATCAACGTTTGCACATGGATTTTTATTTTGGTCTTCTTCTCTTCCTAAAAAAAATATTCAAGGATATCTGCAGCGCACGAGACAAACAGCTGTAAAGTTACTGGAATTCAAAACTTTATATTGCATGCAAAAGTGTCTGTTTCTGCCTAATCACATCTGAATCAGACCTGCTTATTGCCAAGCACGTCACACACACTTGGAATCAGGCATAACAATAAACACTGTTTAAAAACAGAGATTATGGAAATGTACAATAAAATATAGCAAACAGATAAGCGTACATTAGAAATAATACATAATGTATCTGTCACGTGCACATTTATCATTCATACAAACACAGAAAATAAGCAGTGCTTAGATATCCTGTCTCTACATGCACACTCTTGTAATCCTAACTATGAATGTTGAAGCCAGGGTGAAAATGGTGCCAGAATGCAGTTCATGCGGCATAAATAGGTGTGCTGAGGTGGGTTGTACCCAGTGGGACGCCTCACTTTTTACAGGCTGCCACTTCTTGCTTCCATAGAGATGAAATCCTGCCAACACTGACCGAGGTCCTTGTGTGTCCACCTGTGCAGCATGGTTATTTATGTATTTATTTATTAACAGTGCACTGATTTAAAGAGATCTTGACTCGAAGGTGAGGGTTTTTTGAACCACACCTTCAAACCATTCTTTTCATTGGGCTGACCGATCAGCTGGCAGCTTTATAAGATGAGGGACTTTTCCCGAGGTCAAAACAAATCAAGCAGTTTAGAGTCTGTAAATAAATAGTAATCTGTGAGGTATTTCCTCTTAACAGTGACCCTATCAAGAACAAACCCTGTTTAAAATCGGACAGCATAACAAATCACCTTGATGGCTGTGCCATGGCGATGCCGCCACACATTTGCAAACACTCCCCCATGCACATTCACACGGAACCTGAATATGTAAAATGGAGCACTGCAAACGATGGGAGGTTGTGACCTCATTCCAGAGTCTCCCCCTAGGCCTCTTCCCCAGTCCCTTTTCCATCCTGCATGCTGCTGGTGCAACAGTCTAATTAGTTTTGCCCTACTTTGATTGAGCAGGAGAAACATTTGTATCTCAGTAATAGAGTCTCTGTCGCAGCTTTCCCGTTTATTTTGTCGAGTTGTTTCACTACTAAGTCTCCACTCAAAAGGCCGCAGTCCTTCTTCAGCCAATATAGAATAGAAATGATTTGACTCAAGATTGTGTAGGTAGGTTTATTTGGCTGTGGCCTCGCCTGCCTGCTTAGACTAAGTCCTGCAGGCATAATTGTGTTAACGTTTGGTGGGAGAGTCATCCCTTGGGTCAAATCAGCTCAATGGCGTCCGTCCCCTGATTGTCGTTAATCCCAAGGCTATTTTAAGGCAGCAGTTTGCAGAGTGCAAGATCAGTAGCTGAGCATTGGCCGTGCTAGTGAGGGCTACCAGGCCAATGGTGAGAACAGCAGTGACAGGTCTGGTCAGGCCAAGCCCCGAATATTTAGAAGAGAGGGTGACTCAGGGCTTAAACATCCACCCGAGCCTTGTAGGTCGGTGACTTCCAGCGTGACTTTGAAGTTATGTGGCGTTCACTGGATACCAGCTTTCTCTCTGGTATTACAGGAACGCTCTGAAGATGGACTGCGAAGGACACGTCTGATGCTACTAAATGTCCCTGAGGAATGCGTCACAATATGGAAAAGCTGCTCAAAATGTTTAGATCATATGGAAGGAAGTAATAATTAAATGACTTAGATCTTGACCAGAAATGTGTGATTTGCTGTTCAATCTGAAGTATAAGCATTTGAAGGTTGTCGGCATTTTCCCACACAAACCATTTGGATGTTCAGTGCAAACCCAGCCTATGGAGACTTGGAACGATCGTTTTCACTCTGGCTTTAAATGGTTATAAATCGCAGTAGATGAGACAGCCACTGGTGTTCGACGAGACAATGATTATGTCCTTGAAAGCTACAGTGTCTATTTTTAACACCGTTTAATGACATTGGCTTTTCTCTAATTGGAGCACTTTTGTTTTGAGTTCAGCAGTCAGTTAATTTATAGAGATTACCGTTACACACTGCTACTTGCATCACCCAAATACTGTGAGATGTATTTCTATTTTACCATTGGCACTAGAAGGATAGCAAAACTATCAAGTGAAATGTGTTTTTCGACACGACCCTGGAACGCAACTTCCTTACAAAATTCCTGCAAATCTTAGAAAGGCACAATGACTGACTCCCTAAAAAAATATATTTATAACCGCTATAATGATGATTCCACATTACATCCTAATTAGGTATGGGCAAGAACATTTCATCTTGATGTATAAATTGTTTGCCAACACATTCTCCATCCGACTTGTCACCGACTGACACTTTGTCGAAGCCTCACGTCAAAGAGTGCTTTGTGCATCTCCATCTGAAGTATTGGAAGCACTGGTAATGACACCTGGCTGCATCCACTGTCTAGCACATCTTCCCTGAATCTAAAGAATTTGATCACCTGTTCATCATGTGTATGAATACGAAAGTGTTTATAATTGAAATGGGCGCAGAACTGGCAGATAACGTGAAGGTTTTTGGACCTGCCCACTTACACAGATGCTCCACCCACCACAGCTCGCCTGACAGAATCAGACCGCCCCGTCAATCTGCACAGTAGTTGTTGACATTTGTTTGCACACTCATCAATAATGCATAAGTGCCTCTTAGTAAGCTATGATCAACAAGTCAAAACATCTCTCCCAGTTAACCTGGTGCAGTGCTGCTCAGCCTTGGCTACTAGTTTAATACTATATTGAACTTTCTTTCTTACTATTTATGTAACACACCACATGTTTATTTCGTCCTGGTGAGCTGTGACATAGCCTTTCCATTTTGTCCCATGCCTAATGGTCAGTGTAGATGATTGCAGCCTTCGTCTCCTGCTCTGTTGATGTGGTGAGGTTGCACTAGATGCCGACAACTACTGCACATTTAAAGCTTTTGAGGTATAAGTAGTCTGTATTTGAACCATGCAGTGTCCTAAAACCCTGCCTTTTTGTTGCTATTATTGTTCTCTCTCTTAAGTCCAATCATTTTCCACGTCTAAGAGGACAATCTTCAGTTGGAAGTTGGCTTTATTATCTGTCATTACTCCCGCTGTGGGGGCTGGGCTGCAGTCCTCTGTCTTAACCTTTACCTGTGTTCTGTGATTAGGCAAGACGTTGTCTCATTCATTTAGGTCTTGCCTCTTTCAGTTTTACCAGTAGGGCAGGAGAGGTGCTGTAAATCAACGCCCATCTTGTCAGCAATCCTTTCCGCCCCTTCCTCAACACCAAAGACACCAACAAAGAAAGCTCGGGGATGTTGTGTAGGGTGAGCGAATATTGGTGAAGATATCCTCTCATAACACTTAGGGGACTTGTCTGAACCTGAAATTGTCAGAAAGTGCTTTGCCCCAATAAAGAACCAACGAGGAAGAGTAACCGAATATACCTCCCCCGTTCTGTACCATTGGAAAAGGCGCTCAGCAGATTGGGTTTGCACTGCGGCAGAGGGGTTTATGATGTTGGAACCAGTCATGAAATGGGTACAATAGCTACATTACCTCTGTATTTGTCATTTCATGAAATTTGTAGCATTGTTGCATTACTCTATGGAGATGTATCAGAACAGGCCCTGATTGTTTCACAATCCTGATTGACTCTTGGCTTGTCAGAGGCTTGTCCTTTCACTGTCCTCTCTCTTTTTAAAGACGTGAAAGTCTTGCGATTTAAAGCTGGGAAGAAGTCTAGAGATCATTTGGCAAGATTTTTTGTGCATTATTACTCGGAGGTTCACTCCTGTTGCGTACGCAGCTCGGCAGAGTGTTGGCTTGATGTCTTTTCCTTATTTGTCTCTCATGCTTTGTTCTCCAGGACCAATATGACATCATTGAGAAGCACACACAGTCTGGCCTGGAGCTGGTGGAGAAGTATGTGAAATTTGTGAAGGAAAGGACAGAGATTGAGCAGAACTACGCCAAACAGCTACGGTAGGCCTCGCTCCTGCCCCCCCAACCACCCTCCTCTTTGTGCTTTCTCCCTCATATCTGTGTGTGTGTGTGTGTGTGTGTGTGCATGTTGAAAGGTTGTTTATGTAATGCTCGCGAGGTCTTATGACTA